ACACAATTGCAATAGTCTCATGACATTTATGTTTATGATAGATTTATGAGAAGGGATGTTGTCCTGGTCATGTTGTCATGTGTCTAAGATATTTCGTGTTGTCACAACTTTAGATATAATATGACGTCTGATATGATATCTAAAACAATATCATCTTTACATTTAAAATGACAAAACTAATCTAATGACAATTATTAATAAGATAAAATATCCTTCATATTCATCTTTTGTGTCATGATTATAAAGATCTCAGGACAGTCTTTTAAAAACTCCTTCAAGTAAAGTGTATCCATTCTGAGCTTCTCTGTGGCACTTTTGATTTGTAGGCCCCACCTACAATCTTAATTATTAACAAGCTGACCAATCATAGATCATATTTTTTTTGAGAGGTGCATGTCAGGATCCACATCAGGGTAAGTTTATGTTTATGAATCTACAACATGCACTCAATGCAGAAGTATAAACTGCCCTTTAGAGCACCCAACATATCGCAAACACACTAGAGACACTGCAATCATCAAATGATAAGATTATGACTATAATTACGTCAGTACTTTCAGTGCAACCAACGTACATATTCATATAAATATATCTAAAAAGGTGTCAAATGAAATTACTATTTTAACACAAAACCTGACTAAAATCATTAAAATTAACGGCATGAAACAAATGATTCCCACTGAATCCAATTTCCAAACTCCTCAAAACATGCCTTTTAAGACATCTACAATGACAAACAATTAACAGACAATCTAAAGGCCACAGAAAATATCACATTTAATCTGATGAGGTTCTTTATAACTCCTAAACCGTCTGCATTGTGTACAGGTATTGAAAGTTTGCGCTCTTGTTGGAGACAATGTGGAAACTCAATAGATAACCATTTTCACATTTTTCGGGCTTGGCAAAAAATACAGCCCTTCTGGTATGAAGTAGAAATAAAAAAAGCTAACTGGAGAAGAATTGGACTACTCATTTATTACATTATACCTTGGGGAAAATACCAGAAACAATTTCAACTATTGACAAATACCTAACTCAAATACTTTTGGTAAGTAGCAGAAAAGCCATAACTCAAAAATGGTTTTAGGTTGATCCTCCAACAGGGGCTTAATGGATAAGAATTGTAAAAGAAATACTGTATGAAGAGACTGACTTTTAAGCTAAAACTTGATTAAAAAAAAGTGCAACAAGTATTGGCAAAAATGAACTATGTCATTATAAACAAGATGTGATAATGTGCTTCAAATGTATCGGGACTTGATAACAACTGCTTTTTTCTTTGTTATTTTCTTTTCGTCCTCTTCTGTTTTTTTTCTAAATACAATTTGAAAAAAAGTAAATAAAAAACGAAAAAAAAAAAAATATCAGGTTAATTTTCATCTGGACGGATGTGTGGATTACTTTAAATTTTTGTATTTTGTAGCACCCATGTATACATGCACGCGCACACACTCTTTCCCCTTAAAAGCGATGTTCTGCAGGGATTTAAATGCTTGTCAGGATTTAAATTGTGAAAACAGAAACAGCTTACGTCAGAGTTTAATTTCAGCATTGTTTCTGCAGCACATTACTTCACATTGCATCAGAACTTGTATACTGTATAACGTAATTCAATGCTTAAAAAAAAAAAAAAAAAAATCTTTCTAAAAACAAAAAGACTCCAAATAATTCTGTTGACACTCCAAAAGCCAGAACTTTGGAGATTATGTCTGCTCAGGACAGAACAATGAAAAAAAAATCTTTTAAGAAGACTTCCAGAGAAATTACTCTACTCAGCAGTCCGGTTAAATACTTACTCTATGTCAGATAAGCACAGCGTTTCACTGGCAGTCAGCCGTAACTGAGCTATTGTAGGACTGCCCATTTGACCCTGGCTATATTTAACCCAGAATCCATTGATCTGTATTTACCCATCCTATCTACCTCCAGCCCTCCGAAAGATCAACACTGTCTGCTCATAACTGCCTCTCTTCTGGTGGATGTAACAGACATGCCAAAGTAAAGAGCCCTCTGGAAGATATTGAATGTCAGGGACTCTTTGAACGATAAAACGACACACTGAGTGATGACAACTTTACACTTCTCATAACACTAGTGTACTGTAAAGCCATTTGGACACAGTTATGCACCATATACATAAACAAAGACAGAGACTAACTCAGCAGGGAAGTATCATCTATAAATAATACTGGTGTATGGTTATTGAGGTGTGGGTCAGTGTCTGTGTGAAAAAAAAAAAAAACGTCTAGGAGAGTCACTGAGAGTTTAGGCTGATACATAACACCCTCAACGAGTGGCTTTGGCCTCTTTATGACCCCACACGCCAAGCCAAGTCAAGTTACGGCCAAGTCTGAGAAGACCTGAGATGACCAGACTAATTAAATAGGGCATAGCATATCTGATAGAACTATCTAATGTTTTATACTAGACAATCAAGGGGTGAAGTGATTGAAAGAGTTCTTTTATTGGAAGTTTGTAACCATAAATCTTGGCTAATGAATGTCTTGTTTTGTTTAGAAAGCATGTTACAGGATATTTCTGGGTTGCTTTTCTGAAATGCCATTCAGGAATGAAAGTTTATACTGAAATAAGGCAGTCTAAGGCAGTCTCCCACAAGGTTTAAGTATTATGTTGTAAAAAATCTAGCCAAAGAATAAACCCAAAGTCCAGAAAGTCCTAATTCTTAAGGTTTTGTATGGTGCAAACGGAACATTCTGCTTCAACATTTTTCCAAACCTTTTACACATCTCAGGATATGCATGAAACAGGAGAATTTTCTTTTTTTAAGCACCAAGTTGAACTACACTCAACTCTTGTGATCCTAGTAAATGAATTTAAAGAGTCAAATAAAGATCCATGTGAAATATTAAAGGACTCACATAAAGTCTACAGACAGAGCACTGAAATAGATTGTTTTCTACTGACATTTGGGTAAATCCAGGCTTGACAGACCTTTAAAAACCATCACATACTATAAGCTGAAAACATTAAATCATTTATGAATGAATTTAAATGAAAATAACTTAAATCTGTCGAATCTACAAGGCTGTAGACTAACCCCGAACTTTCAGATTTGCCTGTTCTGTGGTTAAATATTTAAGCTTTGCTCTGTAGAATAACTATGTACCAACCTTGAAAGCTGGCGGTACCCATAATCCCCTGTGAAAGGTATGGTCTGCTTTACAGAGTAGTGGGTGTATTTGTAAAAGTGTGTGTCCATGACACGTGAGGCTGATAACACGTCTATTATTCAACATGAAAAGGTTGGTGTGATATCGCCTAACTTTCTGAGTCAATGTTTGTGCAGCAAGTGCACTAGAGTTCAGGTGCCATGAAGGCCACCTGTCATGATATCAGACACCAGTGCTGTGGTTCATATAACAGCGATAAAAAAATAACACTTTTCTTAAGCAAACTATAGTGTAATGTGTAAAAGAAATGGTTGAGAAATGTTTAAGTTTTCAAATTCTCTCCAAAAAGTAATGTTCCCCAAGAAACTTTGAGTTTGCTCATTAAACTCCTGTAAAGCATTTGAGATGCAAATAATATGAGCTGGAAGGAAATGTTTATGGCATTGCTAGGTGATTGCTAAGCAGTTGCTAAATGGCAATGCTTATGTACATGTTTCATCAAATGCTAAAACTTAATAGGCATTTCTAGCATACGTTATTGCACTACATAGCCTGTTTTATTGCTGTAGAGACGATTGAGAGCTTAGTGATGATACATTAAAGCTTATTTCCAATATGAGTGATATAAATCAACCCCGGTGTCTCTATGAAAGTCAAAAACTGGACTTAAGCATTAAGTAAAATGGCTTGCCAGATCTTATTGTAAATATAATGCTTAAGTGTGAAAGGGATGCATGCAAAAATGGCTTTCCATATCAGTAAAATAATGGAGTTTAAGTGATGGAGTTTATGGCCTGCCATATTTTGAGAAAAATAATGCTTAAAAGTTAATGCTTGTATAACTTTTTCATATGCCCGGATTATTAAAAAAATATAATTTATAATTTTTTCATAAAAAAATGATGAGTCTTATCGGCATGAGGAGTTATAGCAACAATTTTCAATGCAGAAGGCACATTTTAACCAAATTTGGGCCTTGTAGCATAAACGGCCCAAAAGGAAATTGGTTTCAAGGACAGATTAGTATAACAGCCAACATAACTATATGAGTAAATAACTGTTTTGGGTAACAATAGAGTAATTCGTGGGAAATGTATTACTTTTAAATGTAATGTAAATGTAATGTAATGTGTATTTACACGTGCAAAAGTTGCTCATGTCATCAAAATGTCCATTTGGATGCTCTTAAGGAGTTTATAAAATGCTCAATGCTATGAAAGTGCACAACAATACATTCAAACTCAAATTCATTTCATAAGTGCTGAGTGGTCTGAATCTGTGAAACTTTTAAGCCACACTTGATGTTCAGAGAAATTTAAAGAAGTCTAACTCTGGCAAAACCACAATAATTAACTGTGAACAGCAAATTGTTTAAAGAACATAATTGCTCTGTTCTTTCCATGAAACACAGGGAAGCCAAAACAAAACACAGCGTGCCATTTAGTTTATCGAAACAGCCTCAACTATAACTCCTAATACTTTCCAAAAGAGCCGTGTCATAAACTTGGAAAATTCAGCAACTCGTTTTTCATCCAAGCAGTTGCAATTTATTGCTATACTAAGGAGCAATGACACATTTATAAGACATTAAACAGAATCCAGTGTGTTATGCCATGTTAAGTCCCCAACTTGAACCAAAATGGTGCATTGCTGTTTGCCATAACAGTAAGAATACTGTGGTGCTGTTCAATAGAGACTAAAATCATCCAGAAATGTATTTCAATGAACAAAAAAATAAAAAAATAAAAATTAAACCAAATTTAAATTAAAACTAATAAAAAATAAAATAAAAATTTAATAACAATATTATTTGTTCTATAACACAACTCTGAATGTTTAGCAAGGTAATGAAAAACGAAGCAATACCTCGTAGGCATATGAAGGTGAGGAAGTCTTCTGTCTTGGGTTTGCGTCTGGAGAGGAATGTGATGTGTGTGAGCGGTGTGGGCAGAGAGGGGTCAGCCATCTTCACTGGTGTGTTGCTGGGAGAGTTGGGTTGAGACTGAGCAAACTTCCTCTGTGCATGCAGTCTGGGCCTGAACAGAAAAAAAAGAGAAAACAATAGATTTTAAATACACTTGCCCTCTATATTATATAACAAATACTTAATGTATACATTGCTTAAATGCATTGTATTAATCCTTTTGGGACTCAAGTAATACCCGGAGCAACAAATTTCTCTTAGTGCATTTGTTCTCATGATGCTAAAACTACACTGCCTGTTGCCATGACTAATTTTGTCTATCTGGATCCAATTCAAACACGTTTTTGGTCTGATTAGCAGACAAGAGCAGCTATTTATAATAATCATTTAAATGTTGATCACTGAATTGAGCACTAAAACGATACAGTCTACAAAAACTGTTTTTTTTTTTTTTGTTTTTTATTAACACGTTTAATCTTCTACTGATAACATGTAAAAATGCAATCTTAAACAGATAGTTCACCCAAACATCTTTTTTACATGCACTCTCATAATGCAGTTATAGTGGAATGTTGGCAATATTCAGACTAAACTTTACCTCATGGAAGCACAATACTTCATACAGTTCTTGATCAACCTATTACAACAAAGTTCATTTTCATAGTATTCATAATCGCATTAAACTGTGTGACATGGGCCAGTCTTAATTGCAATAAGCAGGTTTGCAGTTTTAGCAAAGTGCATTTAACCAGGCAGAGTGCAAAGCAGTTGATGAGATATCCATCATGGTATTAAATAACCATCCATAGAAATGTGTTTGTATTTAATGAAACTAAAATAAAACAGAGACCATTAAATGCTGGTGTAAAAAATCTTAAAGTAAGGTAAACATAACTACACTTTTTAGCAAATAATCAAAATAATGAAAGTTGCATGTAAACTGGAGGATGTGTCCTTGCCATGTAAAACAAATTCATGATAAATCATTTTATCTGCAAAAAAAAGTGTCAGCATGTATGGGCAGGGCTTACATTAACCAGCACAGAGTTGCCTACATCTGAGAGCATTTTAGTTAAGCAGTTTAACTTCTTTCATGTATGTTGGACTGCATTTTCTGTTGATAAACTGGCTGCGATATCCAGTTTGCAATCCTAACTGAGATTTTTTGCATGTTTTTGATCAACAACCAATTCTGTCATTAACACAATGTATGTAATCTTTGGATACACGGGTCAGAATCCTCATTTGAAAATTGTAAATGGATTGTTTTCATTTTTATAGATGCACAAAAAAATAAATAAAAAAAACTGCATGCCTTAATAAATCAAAGCAAGCACAGGCTAAATGTTCTCTCTGCCTTCTGTAGTCTACACTTCTTCTTCATGCAGCTCACTGAAGTGCTGCCATTTTGATAATTAAATGAATTCGAATGTTCTGTGGTTTGTGCTGCTGTAGGAGCATGTTAAAGGGATGTTTAAATATAAAATATGTATATTAGGCTACATTTAAGACTTAGCCTAGGCTATTTCTGTAGCTCAATGTTTAGTGTGATCTCTGAGTGAATGACGCGTGTGCTTCAGTGTAGTGCAGAATAGCACAGTAATTAAACACAGGAACACTATTTGTGGTGGTAATAGTTCATATTGTGACTTTCTTCCTTCTTATCAACAATTGAATTCAGATCCGCCACATCAGCAGCACCACCGATTGCTATGTCTCAGTGTTAATATGAAGAGTGCACAGTTGCATTGCACTTGCATATATTGCATTTTCAAACAGGTCCATGATACTTCAAATACTTAAAATTTGGTGACATATTGTTTTCTTTTTTTTCTTTTACCGAGTTGGTAACAACCCAGCAGACACAATTTATCATAAGACATTAATATTAGGTTAGATTTAGGTCACCAGCATCTAAGGACAATGTTATTTTGACGTCAAATAATGACGTCAAATGACATTGATATTTGGTTGATTTTAGGTTGTGTTGGAAAGTAATCCAAATCCAACGTCGAGCCAATATCTTAAACCAACGTCACATTGACGTCAAATACTTACATATTTTTGTCAGGTATGGCAACCAAAATCCAACATTATATTGGCAATATCCAAACAATGTCAAGCTGTAACATCATTAGACATTGATATTTGGTTGTTTTTAGGTTGCGTTGGAAAGTAACGAAAATGTAACGTCTGTCTGACATTGAACATTGATGTCAATCTGACGTTGAAATGCAACGTCCCACGATGATGGGGTACAATGTCAAACTAATGTCATTTTGACATCCGGTGCCTGCTGGAAAAGTTCTGGGTCTTGTGACAAGATGAAATCCTATTGTGATCAAGTTACTCTTACTTTGATTACTGGAGCACATGTAAACACAGTGACTGAATTTACGCCCATACATATGTCATTATGCAACAGTAAGCTTGCACTTGGATTAAAGATATGCTAAACTGTTGTCCTTCCCACTTTAGCACTTCCATTGTTTAGCCTCTAATTACCAAAGACTTTGCAATGTAATTAAGTTCTCCATTACGCATTGTGAAGACTTCAACACTATGGATAAATCAAGCCACTAATTTCTAGGCCTCTCACTCAATGCAGTTTCTCTATTTGAAGATGTCTAACTGATTCTACAACTCAGTTTAGCTCTCCCAAGGAAACTGCGAGAAATACTAAAAAACTGTGGAAAGTCATACGTCTCAATTTCTCCTCCTCCACGTGCTGCCAGTGGAAGCATGCGTGTACGCACTTTCCGTTTCAGCTGCATTTCATCATTTTACCCACACGCACTCCCTTTGGTCCACGCCTGATGTTTTCTGCCAAATATGTTCTCCCCACACAGAATTAAAGAAAATCAGGGGGATGGGTAAAAGACAAACACCATTCACTCCTGTACAAATTAATCTCATTCAATCAGAGGGCCGTGCCTGAGATGGCTTGCCAAACCCCAGCAGCTTTGACGGAGCTGCAACGGCATTGCTAATCAATTCTCACCAGTGCTGTGTTCAGCAGACAGATTGTTTCTCTCTTTTTTTTCATTTTTCAGTCTTTTATGAATTTGACTGATGGCATGAGTGCCTATGTTATGCCACTAAAAAATAAAAATAAAAAGGAACTGCCAAAAATGCTACTACTCCTGCCGATTCTGTTTATTTTGCTCCCACTAAAAACATACATTCTGAAAGAAAGTTGTACTTAAACAGTTTGTGCTTTAAAAAGGAAAAACAAGGGATCAGCAGGTAACAATAGTCTATTATAATCATTCAGGGTGGCAGTACACTTAAATAAGAACTTCATATACACTGTAAACAAAAGCAGTTTCTTACTATTTTGAATGTGAATTATGCTGGTAACTTTTTCATTCCAGATGGCTCTTGTTATTACAAATATACGCGCATGAGAAAAACTCAGGAAGGCTAACATTAACTAAACCAACCTTCTGTCTGTGCCATGTTAAATTTTTTGCAAGCTTTGTACTGACTTGCTAAAAAGAACAGCAAATATGAATACAATCTGTCATTGACATTGCTGTTGGATGCCGATTCAAAACCCTTAATCTCCAAGAAAAAATGTATTAATAAAAAAATCTATTTAGGGCCTGACTAAATCAATCATCAATGGCTGACACCCTGGTTTGCTGTGTTATAGTCTATTGCTTAAAGGTTTTTGCACGCTAAATCTGACACTTTTCCCCATAATTTTTGCACGTTAAAAAATATACTTGAACTCAGGTTGTATGAATCGTATTGACATACTGCCTCCGAAAATTTCTTCCACCATTAAAAATTCAAACGGGGTTTAATCTGCTATTCTATTCGAAAAAAAAGTGCATGGTCTGCTTTTAGTCCATTGCTTCGACATGTCAACGCAGCCGATATCTATTATCATGTCTATAGGTACTGCCAGTCTCTGTTCAGGATTTGTTTACCAACGTGAATGTGTGAAGTATCACAAGAAATATTTTAAAATTCCACTGATTTCATTTTAATGGATTTATACACTTTGTACTCAGTGTGAAAGGCTTGTTTATGTGACAAATCTTTCACATATGAATACAAAAAAAAAAAAAAAAGGATATAAAAAAATTTCAGACTTCAGTGGGCAAAGACCTTAAGTCCTAATTCAACAGATCTGAACCAGCTAAGAGAAGGTGGAGATAAACTCTTTATGAGTGGTTTATCAAGTGGCCCACTAAGAGCAGGATTAAATGCTCCTGGTCAAAAATAATTGAACTATTATAGCACATAATGAGATTTTATTTCAAAATGAATATATTGGAATGCAAAAAAAATTAATGAGTGAAATACCCAATGAAAAATGAGTGAAATACCCAACCAGACCTGACTATAAACAAACAAAAAATATTGTGGACTCCAGTGGACACGTGTTATATTGCATAAAGTCACAGTTAACCTACTAATCAGCATCTCCCATTGAAATAGCTCCACACCCAAACATTGACATTAATTAATGACATAACACAGGCAAAAAGTTCATCGGACCATTGGAGATTGCTACTCTAGATGACAACTGAGTGAGATTTCAGCCAAAAAACACAATCATAAAAAAACCCTAGCCTTTAAATGTTGCTGCTAGATATTCAACGGAGCACTTAAAGCTGGCCAACTGCGCCATTACTTATTGATTGCTAAAGTGTTTCAAGCAGGGGTTTAACCTCATTTAGATTGGTCCAGGGGAGGAGTTATAATTCACAGGAGAAATAAAGAAAACAATCTCTTTTTCTGACCAAGGTTTTCATAAGAAGCCTAAACATTTTTTGGAATTGAGAACTGCTACTTTAGAAGTATTAGCTTAGCTCTAGAGAAGCTCTGATGCAGCTGTGCAGGGAAAAAAAGGATCCATTAAAACAACGAAGGATGTCGTCACGGTTCATCGAGTCAGTCTAGACTGCTCTGAATCTCAAAGATGGTCTGCTTTTATTGGACAATTTATCCTATCTGTTCCTCATTACAGGGTATAATGGCTAACTGTTTGGCATGCAAGTATCCGGTGACAGAGATGGAAATGCATGCTGGGATAGCTGTCTAGATGTACTGTAGCGTAATCCCTACACACTACACAGAGAGCACTTTTACAACTTAATG